GATTTTCTATTTCGGTTCATCTATCCCTATATTTCTGGATACAACCGAAGTATTCAGAAGAATAATACAAGGATGGGCAGGATACGGAGTTTTTAGGAACGTTATTAAGAGTGACATCCCAACTAAAATGAAAAAAACAGTTTTCGACCAATGCGTGCTACCGGTGATGACCTATGGTGCAGAAACATTATCGCTCACAAAGAAAAACGCACAAAAACTAAGAGTAGCGTAGAGAAGAATGAAACGATCAATGATAGGAGCCACTCTGCGAGACAGGATTAGAAACGAAGATCTACGAGCTAAAACCAAAGTCATAGACGTCATTGAAAGACGCTGTAAATGGGCTGGACACGTTGCCAGAATGAAGGACGGAAGATGGACTCGCAAACTAGAATGGACACCAAGAGCCGATAAACGTAGCAGAGGAAGACCAAAAACACGATCGCAAGACGACTTACGAAAAACAACAAAAAACTGGACACAGCAAGCACAACATAGAACACTTTGGAGACAAACAGGGGAGGCCTATGTCCAGCAGTGGATTGAGAGAGCTTTTATTCTGTTCTAGTTTCAGTTTTTTGCTCTTCCTTCTTTTTTTGTTTAAGAAGGTAAACATTGTCAGAAAGTGAAATTGTGAAATTCGCCAAAAATATGTAAAAAAATATTTGTATGCGGACTGACAGACTTTGTATATATCATTTCCTATCCTAGCGTTTCAGTCTTCTGTAATTAGCACTTATTGATTTTTTCTTTAAATTTCAGTTTTTGTAAATATCCTCGTATATTGGTCTTCAATTTCAACCACTTAATTTAAAACATTTAGGTATATATATTATCTTTGACATCAACGGTTCTCTGCCCAAAATGAAATTTATAAATAACTTTTTTAATATCCGTTAGATCCAAGATATTGTTAACAACAATATATCAAAGATAAGATTTAGAGTTTAATAAACTTTCCGGTTTTAAAATTTTAAATTATTGTAGGTGTTTGGTTTGAAGAAGACGGTCAAATCCTTGTAAGTATTTATTCCAGTAACAAGTAACTAAGGATTTTTATGTAAATGATGTTTATGATGTTTATGTAAAATAATAACTTTTTAAATAATAAATTAAAATTTGCGCATATAAATAATAATTATTATATTAAAAATAACAGTTTAAAGTTGGTGTTTTGTAATTAATTTCAATACTGTCTTGTTGGTATGTTCAAATTAGTCGTCGGAAGTCATCCTTAAAACTTTGGTGTTCAATCATACAGGGTGCGGCATAAGTGCAAAGAAGTTCAATTACTTATTTGCCGCAAGAAATACGAAAAAAATATTAGTTTAAAGTTAAGTCTAAATAGGACCATAATCTAAAAATATGTATTTTCAAATATACAGCACCAACCATATTGACGAGGTAGAACAAATAATGAAATATCCTATATATGTTTACACTTTTAGACTCTTTTTGATGTTCTCGTTTTTTCGTTATAGGGTTTGGCAGTGATATACGAGGAAATTTAAAAGATAATTACGTTTTTTTTATTGATTTCGTAGCAAAATTAACACCCTGTAGAATGTAAAAACAAATATTTTCAAAAGATTTTACCATTGTTGAAAATTAATAAAATAGCGAAATATTTAATTTAGATATACATTGTGGAACGAGACTCGCAATGAATATTAAGTGAGTTTTCTTAAATGGAACACCCAATATCCTGAAATAAGGCAACTTATATATACTTTAAAACAACACGAAGATTATAGTCTTTTCATTTACATTGATCAAGGTATTACCAGAGAGTAAATATAAGGTTTCAGTTGAATTGCAAAAACATAAATTATTCTACTTTCTTTATTTTGCCAAACATTTAGAAATTTTACACAAAAATTCAAAATATTAAAGTTAAAAAGGAGGTATAATCAAACAACCATTTTTATAAAAATAATGTTTATGTTAAAGAACTTAAAAAAAATTTTTTTCCAATAATTTTATAGCATGTACACGAGATTTGGGTATAATGGGTCTCTAAATTATAATTTTCAATAAAAAATCAATAATTATTGATGCAGAAATTCATCCAAAGAACTTTCTGCTTCTGAACCACAATATTTTTTTAGATGCTGCAGGTCTGCATATTTCGCTTGACTGATCGGCTGAAGTGTTAAAAAAATAACTTTTATAATAAAAGTAACCTTTATAAAACTAAACTCATAAGCATATGAGGGTAGCTCAAATTCCATTTCTGGCAGTTTGGGGGTAGTCAATCCCTGCTGTGTTATTACTATGGTCTCCCAAGTTCCATTGAATGTTTTTCTGTAGTACAAAAGACGAGGATGTTCCCTAACGGCTTTTATCTAGCGGATGGGTCGAGTTAGAAAAGGGCATTTATTTTTATAATTGGACATATTCGAATGTAGATAAGAGAATCGAATCGTTTTGTAATGTCCCTTTGTCCGCTTCTTCTCGATTGACGATGTTAAATACAATAAAATGTTGAAGTTGTGGAGTAAAAAATAATGGTTTTATTGACAAGTACTAATAATTATACTATAGATGGTTCTTCTTCTTCTTTTGGCATCATAACCCTGAATGGGTATTTGCCTGTCTGGCTATATCCTTCCATTCAGATCTCTCTTGTGCCCTTCTTCTCCATTGTCTTATGTTCATTGTTTTCAGGTCGTCTTCCACGTCATCCAACCATCTCGTTCTGGGCTTTCCTTTTTTTCGCCTTCCTATGGGCTTCCATTGTAACATTTTTTTTTGTTGTTTTTGCATCGTTTTGTCTCTGCACATGTCCCAGCCATGACAGTCTTTGACTTTTCACAAATCTTACAATGTCATAACCTTCATTTGACTCATTAACCTCGTCGTTTCTTCTGATTCTTCATGTGCCATCTTCCTCTTGTACCGGGCCATATACTTTACTCAGTATTTTTCTCTCGAATGTCTTGAGTGTTGTTTTGTCATCACCCAAGTTTCACATCCATAGGTTATTACGGGTCTAATCAGTGTTCTGTAGATAGTCATTTTGGTTCTTTTATAGCTGTTGGTTAGGTAACTATATATAATAGACTGCACTCAAATGCGCTGAAATCTTCAATTTATAATCTCACAAATAATGTATACATCAGCACAGAAGTTAATGCTTCTATCATACTAACAAACTTTGAACTATGAGCTTACAATACACTTTAATCTAGGCCGTATTTGCAACAGTTAGGAAGTTCAATTAGAAAAATATATTATTCAATAATTTATTAACAGGTGAATGGACTTTAATTATTAAAATATTACTCGATAAAATTTTACAATGTCTCAATTATACACGGTGAAACTATAAGTTTTATACAGTGCTGCTATTGCTGTCATTATCTTCACCTGGTGTAATTATAATTGGCTCCAGTAAAACTTCGATATGAGTGTCGTTTCCACATACGATGTTCTTCTTTAATTATGTGGTCTATACATTTAGCCCATTTCTCTGAAGTTACATGGAGGACTGCTTGAATCAAAAGTTCCTTAACTTCGTTTAATTTGAACGTTTTGTTATTGTGTTCTACTTCTTCTTTCACTTGCGCCCAGATAAGTTCAATGGGATTAAGTTCGCAATGATAAAATGATAAATGCAGAACTTTGATACCATAATCTTTTGCAATTTCATCCACATCATATTTAAGATATTCACTTTTCCTTAACCATGCAATGACAAGTAGCTGAATTTTAAGCATTGATTCTTCGTATGCAATCCCCTTTTCTGTAAGCTATTCTTGCAAGTTCCAATTTTGGTAAGATTAAAATCTTGCCAAAATTTTCTAACTGTATGACCTTCGGTAATCCAAGTTTCATTCAAATAATATATTTTGCGTCCAGTGCTGCGAATTTTGCGTATTTCTTCTAAATATTTTCTTTTTCACACAATAATTTCATTTTTTTCTAATAGCATACTTTTTCTGTTGCGTTTTACATATCAAAAGTTTATTTTACGCATGCTCCTGATTAAGACTCTATAACATATCTTTTGTAAGGAGTTATCGTTTTCGAGCTCTTGAGAAATTTTTTTTCTACTTCTGTAACTTCTTATAAGAAACCCAAATTGCAATTGAGAAAACGGGTAGTTTTGAGGGCCGCTGTGTACATTTAAATTTGAGGATATTCGGCGTTTAAACGATGAATCACTCTTCTAAATAGTGGAATTATAGTATAGTTTACCATGTACCGTTGACCTGAAGATGCATAGCAAATTATAGTATGCGAAACCGGTCGTTGGTGGCAGCCTAAATTGATTGTGAGCAAGTTTTATTCTTATTTCTTTTTACCTATATCATATATAATTTGTACTTTATTATCTAGTTATTCCTGGTACGCGATTGAATTAACTTTTGTATTATTACAATATAGAAAAAGTCAGATACACTCCTACCCGTTTATTTCATGGACTTGCAAGCGTTTTAATATGATATGGACATGTGCAGATATACATATAATACTAATTTCTAAGTTTATAGACCTACAACCCGAAGAATCGTTAATGTTCTCTCAACATTTAAAAACATGGCCAGCCCAATTTTATTTATCATTAATTTTTGTTATAATCGTTTATAATATCATTATGGTATGTTTAAGACATTAATTTGCATATTAATTTTCGTAAGTTGTTATTTAGTATGCGAAAAATGTTTTCCAAATATTGTCCTGGAGTTGGCAAGGTAGAGGTACGTATTTAAGCCAAAATAATTTTACAAATAAAATCAGCAATCAATAGTTAGTTTAGTATGTACGTTTGTTATGTTTCATTAGTTTTTTAAAATCAGGTAAATATAGTCTGAATCAACTTTAACAACTGAACTCTTTGAACAATAGTTCTGAAGCTATTTTCTTGTGGCATTTTAAATTAATTACTTTTTAACTGAGAATAAGCCACAATTTAAGGTTAAAATACGTTTATTTTTTATTTATTTTTTGTTATCAAACTATAAAATATATTTCCATGCAAAATTGTACAAAAAATATCAATAAGCTTCACACATACAATGAAAAATAATTTGTTTACTATATCTCTTTATTAATTTCTTCTGGTGATAATTCTTCTTTATTACTGGAATGGACGCAGGAGACACTTCAGACTTTTCTGAATATGGAACGTTAACACTCGACCTCATAGTTTCAAAATTTTTTAAGGAACGCTTTGGCGAATTTTTTGCTTCTAGCTCTTGGAAAATCTTCTTGGCCTCCGAGAAGGTACTAGGTTTGAGTTCTTTTGGGGGATCAATTTTACTTTTTGATTGGGTTGTACTACTGAGAGGAATGTTGCATTTTGGAATATCCATTTTAGTTTGACTTTTAGACAAAAATGGGTTCAGATCAGTTGCAGATTTACTTTTTTCTGGACTCTGGGGATTCTATAAACTGGTCTTTATTTTTGTGTTTGCCGTCTACATCATCTGCTTGTTTAATATCTGCTTTGTTAAGCATAGATTTAGGGGCAGAATTTAACACGTGATAAACTTTCTTTAAAGTCTGATATTCGGGAATATTACTACTGTTCGGAAACATGTTTTGGGTTTAATAATCCAGAGAAACGAAATCTACGATTTTTGGCTTAGGTTGAGAATCTCCTAGAAAGAATTCGAGATCTTCATAGCCATTCGTGTCGCTTAGTTGTCCTAAGTAGGTTACATTATACCCAATCTTCTTGTTCATTTCCTGTGTAGTGGATCTGTAGAGACCAACATCAGTGCCGTCAATATTGTCAGAGTCCATACCTTCCAAATTGAAGAGGTTTAACGTTGAAGCGTCAGATTCATGGATCGGATTTACGTGAGTTTCAGATGGTATTGTAAGATCCAACTTTTCTGCTGTACTGGTTACCGCTATTACAGAATATGATAATGAGTCTTCACCGCTGTCTTCCAGTTCATCCTGTACTTTTTCCATAAAACTCCATAGGTGTGCCTTCTCCACAGAACTCAACAGTTGCGGTTTTTAAATAGTCTTCTCCAGATTCTGCGTTTCAACTTTTCCAACTTCCGCAGATTGTGCATTTCTGCCGACTGCCTCGTTGACCAATTTTTTTAGTTTTTATGTCCCACGAACATTCCTAGTTTATTTTGCTGAGTCCTTATGATTTAAACCAGGTCGGCGCTGTTAATATTTTTCAGCGTAGGTCTATGTTTATTAAAACGTGACTAATTTCTTTTTTGAACAATTGTTGCAACTGATACTGGCTCGTGTCATGCAACTAACTGGGTCAAATTGCTTTTCTTTGTATAGAATAACATGTATACGTTATTGTATTGAACTTGAAAACTAATAATTGTTTTGAATAATTGTTATCCTCTCTATGCTACTTAGCCCTTATTTTTTCTATTCTTTATTTTCTCGCTATGTTTACATTACATCCACATGGTGATGTAAATGCCTAAGGGCTGGGAAGTTTTTTATTTAAAACTTTATTTTGAAGAAAATCCATTACAAATATACTATATGAGTTATTTGTTAACTTGTACTTTATAGAAAATGACCCGCTGTACTTTAGAGAAAAAAACCTGTATACTACATTGTTTTTATTGCAACCTTTTTTGAATTTGCATTACCAACAGCTGTTGTAAAATCGTTGAAATCGTAGGTTTTATTTTGTTTTTTTTTAAAGATGGTTTCACTTGATGGTGAAAGCTCATCGGCTGACATAAAGGTATGCTCTGGTTCGAAATACTAAATACAAATATCTTGAGCAGATATAGCATCAAAATTTACAATATATACAAGAAAATATAAGTTTTCTTATACTTACTTTCGAAAAATCTTATCTACGTACCAAAACACATAAAAAAAGTTAAAATACCGAGGAGACATACAAGTCTATATTTATCCCCTATATAAGTTATTCCGTATGATACACAAAATGTTTGAGAGAGCACTGAATGGAGAAGACTTACCGGCAGAATGGATCCAAGCATATATGACAACAATATACAAGAAAGGAAATAGAAAAAACTGCGAAAACTATCAGGGAATCAGCTTTATATCGTCTATAGGCAGACTGTATGGAAAGACCATAAAGGAAAAATTAGAAATATATATACAAGATAAAATCGGAGAAGACCAGGCAGGTTTTACAGCGAGGAAAGCATGCTTAGATTACATTTACACGATCGACCAACTAATAGAAAAAAGAATGGCCAAAAATAGATCCGTCCATCTGGCTTTTGTTGATCTTAAGAATACATATGACTCAATACCTAGAACCAAGCTATGGGAAGCAATGGAAGACATCGAAGTTCCACGAACGGGCAATAGAATATGCAGTCCATTTAAAACGACAAAGGGACTACTACAGGGTTGCTCCACATCCCCCACCCTGTTCAAAATATTCCTGGAAAAAACCCTGAAACCGTGGAAAAGAAAGTGCGTAGGAATGGGTATAGCAGTAAGGAACGAATATCTATATACGCTAAGTTTTGCTGACGACCAAATAGTGATCGCACAAGATGAGGATGACCTCAGTTTTATGATGAGAAAACTGGAGCAGGAATATACAAAGAATAGAATTGAAATAAACCTAAAGAAAACTGAATACCTAACAACGGAGAATACAGAAATAAAACAGCTGGAAATAGACGAAGGTAAACAAATCAAAGGAACAGACAAGTATAAGTATTTAGTTTTCATAATATCAAACAAAGGAACAACGGAGGAAGATATAAAAAATAGACTAGGACAAACAAGAGACTGCATACGAAAATTGAACCCGGTAATATGGGATAAGAACATCAACATGAAAACAAAGAAAAAAATATATAATACTATGACAAGAAGTATCCTCACTTATAGGTGTGAAAATTGGACAATAAATAAGAAAACCAAAAACAAAATAAGAGCAACAGAGATGGAATTCCTAAGGAGAAGCTGCAGAGTAACAAGAAGAGATACAGTAAATAACATGGAGATTAAGAGGAGAATGGTAATGAACTCAGACATAATAGACTACATCGAAGAGAAGAGGTTAACTTAGTACGGACATGTCAGAAGAGCAGACCAAAATCGGTGGATAAATAGAATAACAGAGTGGAGCCCGATAGGAAGAAGAAAGAGAGGCAGACCCCGAAGATCTTTCAGAGATGAAGTGGACGAAGCAATGAGAAGAAGAAACCTACAGGAAGAGGACTGGCTAAATAGAAAAAATTGGAGAAAACGGTTGAGTGAAGGAATACAGTGAAAACTGTGGAAATCCTTATATATATATATATATATATATATATATATATATATATACCGATATATATATATATATATATATATATATATATATATATATATATATATATATATATATATATATATATATATATCGGTTTTAGAACGTCTTTCGACGTTGTCCGATGCCTAACTTCCACGTCCTTCTATCATCCCATTGGCCGTCTCTAAGATCTCTTGTACTCATTGCTTTAGTTACCCCTTCTTTCCATGTCTTCTTGGGTCTTCCTCGTTTTTTGCGGTTTGGTGGTACCCACTGCATAATCTTCTTGGGTAGTCTTGTGTCTTCCATTCTTTGAACATGACCATACCAAATCAACTGTTTCCTCTCAATGTCTGTTGTTAAGTAACCATCTATTCCAATTCTTCGTCTTACTTCCTCATTTCGAACTCTTTCCCTGCGGGATATACCTAACGATCTTCTAAACATATCCATTTCTACAGCTTCTAATTTTTTTCTGTTGTTCTCGGTTATTCTCCAAGTTTCTGCTCCATAAAGTAGACTGCTTTTAATTAGTGACTCATAGATGTTATATTTTCGCTTTATTCCTATTTCAGAGCTCCAAAGTATTCCATTTAGGCAGCCAATTGTTCTTCTAGCTTGTGCAACCCTTTTCTTTATTTCCTCATCGTCTTCTCCCGTTCTATCGAAGATTACTCCCAGGTATGTATATTCACTACAGGAGGTGATTTCTTCATTATTCTCTAGTTCGATATTGGAAAACTCAGCTCTTATGGGTAGGTATTTAGTTTTTTCTACATTTATTTCCAATCCCCACTGTTCATATTCCTCCTTTAGTTTTCTTGCCATATACTCTAAATCGTCTTTATCATTGGCTATGATGACTTGGTCATCAGCAAATTGTAAGGTATATAAACAAACATCTCCGAGGTCTATACCCATACCGTGACATTTACGTTTCCACTGGTTTAGTGCTTTTGCAATATATATCTTGAACAACGTTGGTGAAATACAGCAGCCCTGGCGCAGACCCTTGTTAACGATGAACTTTTTAGATAGTGTGTTGCCAATTTTTATTTGTGATGTAGAATTTTCATATAGATTTTTTAAGGCTTTGATTAAAGTGTAGCTAATGTTAGTTTCTTGTAGTGATTTCCACAATTTAGTTACAGGCACGCTGTCGTATGCTTTACGGAGATCAACAAACATGAGATGGGTCTCTTGATTGGTTGCTAATTTTTTTTTTTTTTTTTTTTTTTTTTTCAATTAATTGTTTTAGGCAGAAGACATTATCTGTGCAAGTTCTTGAAGCTCGAAAACCAGCCTGTTCTTCTTCTTCTTGTTCCCTATACTCCATCTCAATGAGATTTCTAAGAATGCGTCCGTAAACCCGGCTTAGTGTACTAGTTACCGATATTCCTCTGTAATTTGAGCAATCCAACTTATCTCCTTTTTTATGGATGGAAGAAATATAAGCTACTTTCCATAAACTGGGTGGTGTGACACCGTTTATATATTTGTTCATACACCAAGTAAGTGCTAGAAATAGTTTATCTGTGCCACATTTTATTAATTTTGCTGGAATATTTTCTGGGCCTGGAGCTCTACCATTTTTTAGTTCAGTTACAGCTTTCTTCAGCATATCAACTCCCACTACTATCTCTTCGCCGTCAACTGATACTTCTGTTGGTGATTGTGCGGTATATTCTGCTCTACTTTCTGTTAGCAAACTCTCGTAGTGTTCTTTCCATTTTTCTGTTGGTATTAACTGGATAGAAGTAGTATTTCTTTCTGTGTTCTTTATTTTGTTTAAAAGTTTCCATGTCTCTGAACACTTTCTTCCGCCCATGTAAGTGTTGATCTCTTGGCATGTCCTATCCCACATTTCGTTTTTTGCTGTTATTACTGCTCTTCTTGTTGTTCTTCGTAAGTCCAAATACTTGTCTTTGTCTACTTGATGTTTAGTACTTAGCCACCGTGTGTACGCTTTCTTTTTCTCCATTACTAGGTTTTCTATGTCTTCGGTCCACCATAGCTTTTCACTGTATCGTTCGGATTTTAAACCAAGCGCCTCTTTCGCAGCTTTTTGTATACTGTCTATTATATTTTTATATACTTCTTCCACGGATACATTTTGGATTATATCTTCTAATTTTTCATTTAGTCTTCGTTGATATAGTATTCTCGTACTTTCATGTTGTAAGCTGTCCAGATTGTACTTTGTCGTGTTATAAATTTCTGTGTCTTCAGGTGGTTCTTTTGTTTTCTTGAATCTAAACGGAAAAACTATTTCGGACTTTACCATAAAGTGATCCGAGTCGCATGATACTCCTCTATATACTCTTGTATCTATTACGTGTAATGTTGTATTTTGTTTTGTAATCACGTAATCTATGATCGATTTTAAATTTCTGGTTACCTGAATCCATGTATATTTGTGTATATCCTTGTGTTTAAAAAACCCAAAATATTATATATATATATATATTATATATATATATATATATATATATATATATATATATCTATATATATATATATATATATATATATATATATATATATATATATATATAATATTTTGGCTCCTATACTATTTGATTCTTATTGGGTTTGTACCAATTTTTAAATATTGAACAAAAAAATTTCATCAAACATAAAAAATTAACAAAAAATATTTTAATTAGACACGTGATGTTTTATGTGTGACGTTTATAGCAATTATTATTTCTGTGGTTTTGTATTTTATATTAATATATTTTATTGAACATCGCGGGAAAACCGATCTGTCTACTTTTCTTGAATTCTAATATTATTCGTACATTAATCAAGGCATATTTAAAATTTGCTGAAATCGAATTTTAATATTGGAAGTTCCTTCTTTTATTAAAAGAAGGAACTTCCACTATTAAAAGTAGTATATAAGCTAAAAATAGAATAGTATTACTGAGGTATTATTTATTACTCTACAAAATTTAGTTTTATTTGAATTTGCGAAATTACTTTTGATATTAAGTTGTATATAGATAAACTTACGATTTGTGATCTATCATCGTTTGTTCATTCGTGACTTATCATCCAGTATAGTGTGACGTAAACAGTGTTGGAACATTTAGTGAAAAGTAAATTTTTTTGTTTTATACAGTTTTGTGATTATGACACAAATTTTGCACAGTAAAAGAAATTAACTGTAAACTTTAATATTTATTACGTGTACGTACTAATATGTTCAGTATATTATCATAAGTATGCTGGTTTTGTATTAATATATTTCACTACATACGGCAATTTAGCGATTGAATTTGTCTGTACCGGGTGGTCCAGATATATCAAAAACTATTCATGTTATAACTTTAGGAAAAAAAAAATTCCTTAGTAAAAGTGGCCAAGAGAAATCGCTGGAAATAACTTTCAAGATTCTGGATTAACCGCTAGGGGGCGTAACCTGCGAAGAAAATTTTGAAAACCAGTTTTTTGGGAAATATGTCCAATTATACCAAGTGTTAAATAAGTAAACTAGAAAGAGGCATAAATTCTGCACAAAATTGTTCAAGTACTTTTTTTATTTTTTTCAAATAAAGGGTGGGGGAGAGTGGGAAAGTATTTGTGGTTAAATACCTATAACCTTGGTTTGGATCAACCGATTTTAACAAAATTATTGTCATTAAAAAGAGTATGGATGAATTAATTTACATCTACTATAAAATAATTGCATTTAGTTTTAATTGTCGTAGGTAGAGGGTACTTTCAAATAGAAAAAATTAAAATTTGTTTTTCCTCAAAATTTTTAATGGAAACACCTATTTATTGTAAATTATAATGAAACTTGATTAAATTCGTAACAAAATGGCACAAACCGCATGTTAATAGCTTTTATCGAACTCGAGATATGAATAAAAATGCATAAACATAAGTAAGTATAGTATTGAAACACCCTGTATTATAAAATAAATTAAAAAATAAGTCAGTAGGTACTTTCAAAATTTTTTATAGCAGAAAACTCTTAATGTTGATACCTATTTTGACCATTGTTATTTCATATGATAAGTAGGCTACGACAATGAATTTGACAGGGAGTTCATATTGTTTATTTGTTGACATCAGTCAAAATATTGTTAAAAAGTGTTTGTATATGTATTATAATTCGAGTTGAAAATTGCATTTTTTCAATAGATATTAATATTGGTAATATTAGTAATTAATTATCAGTACTAATAATTCGTGATGAGTATATCAAATTGTATGATATGATTGGAGTTTATTTCGAATATCACCAAAATGGCGCTATTGCCTCACGTATATATTCTGTAAGATATCCTGGCAGGAGATATTGTGGCAAAGAAGTAGAGATTTCGGACTACTTATATGTGGATTCTGTTGAATTAAAGCAACCCATATCTTTTGCTGTTCCTCATGATGTGACCGAGGTATTCGATTTTGGCTGTTTTTATTGTGGTTAACAACTCTTTTTCTTTTTGCATTCTGAATAAAACGTCCTGGTTAGGAACGTGGTCGGTATAGGATATCATCAGGATTAGACGATAAAGCGAAATTTGGAAAGCCTCAATTTTCTTGCAGGTAGCGCCTGTGAAAAATCATAACTCAACACCGTACTATAGTATGGGAAAGATGTAGCGTAGTAACTTTTTTGCCATTTTTTGAAATGCACATCTTGCTCTCTTTTCTACAATTTATTTCTAAGGAATGGTCCCGATTTTCATTGACGTTCGTACCAAGGCAGGTGTATGTTTTTACTCTTTCTATTAGTTGACCATTTACACTGATTCTTTCAATTTGCTGTTCCTTCTTAGAGATCATCATACATTTTGTTTACTTAATGTTCAGAGAATCACTGTGATTCTATTCATTAACTGCTGGAGGGCTTTATAACTGTCAGCGAATACCATCATCCGCGTTATTGATATTATTGATACAATCTCCGTTAATTCGAATTCCGGCTTCTACAACGTCTACTGATTCTTGAAAGATTTCCTCAGAGTATATGTTAAACAGCAAGGGTGATAGTATACATCTCTGTCGGAACCCACGTTTGATTTTGATATCGGATTCTCCTGCCTTCTAGAATATTGCTAATAATTCTTAGATTACAGGTGTTTATTCCAATATTTGTAGGGTTCGGGTGAAGATAATGGTAAGTCACATTTCTACAAATGTTCAGAAATTGAACTTAAAAGTTTACCGATTGATTGCTCTGTTGCAATGTCATTTGTCATAGCAGTATTTTCACATGTATACTCGTTAATCTTCTTAAACTAGCTTATTTTAACTTCACCGCTGAAAACGAATTTTAAATTTACGAGTAAAACGATACTTTGAATAAAAAATAGTGTAGATACCATTTTTTTCGTTTATTGAATTGTACATAGGATATAAAAATGAAACAAATATACTAAAAAATGTTATTAGAAATAAACACAAGAAACAATAATAGAAATAAGAAAAACATTACAGGGACTTTGCAAATAATGACCTGTAAAACTCGTGATAAACGTTGGGAATCCAATCCAAACACGAAAGTACATGTTCAAGTTTACTAGGTTCAATGCCAAGCCGTGTTGCATATTTTTTGTGAAGATCTCGAATAAAATGTTCTTGTAGGATCCCAGTTCTTCCTCTTTTTTGAATTGGGTATGAATTGAACTCACCATTGTATGTATCAGCGATTTCGAATTGTTCAAAGTTCTCAGCAGAGAAGCGCATTCGCACAGCATTTCTAATACTACATGGAATAGCCGGTGTAGACTTGGGTTGTACAAAATAGTTTCTCATTTCAGACACTTTTAAAAAATCCTCTTGATTTATCTTGTAAACAATGAATGGATTTTTCTTTTGGCATGTGCTTAGTATGTTTTCCCACTCAGCTGGAGAATATACATACTGATAATGAGCTCGTACGTATTTTTCTACAACAGCAAAATCTCTGTCTGATAGTAACATTGTGTGTCCGACCTGTGGAAAAATATGTATTATTTCTTTAAAATTTCCCAGAGCTAGTAAACGAAGCCACACTCCAACCAAAGACCAGTTTTTATTTTGGCCGATGCAGTTATCAAAGATAGCTATTAATGTATGTCCTTTAATATTGTGCATCTGGAAGTGTTTAAGCAGACAGCTTCCGATCTCGTCCGCACTTCTAGCAGCGGTTGACTCCCACATATAAAAGTATCCCTGTGAGGGATACAACGAGTGTATACCCAGATTATAAGAAAACAGTTTCTTTTTATAAAATGTAGGAGCAGTAGACAATTTGGGGGTTGGAAGTGCTTGTTGAAGGTCAAATGTTATTGCATATGTTACATTGCTCTCTTGTGCTTTTTTTGTTGCATTTTTTATCGCGTCTTGTCCAGCTTTAGCCTTCCTGTGATGCACTTCTTGCTTCAATTTTAACGCTTGAATTTGTTCGTCATTTCTTTGTATTGTAGCCTCTTTCATACTAACATAGATTGAATCACATATATGGCACGTATCGGATTTAGGTGATTTGAATTTAATATTAAAATCGTGAATAAATACTCTTCGAAACTTATCAGCAGATACAAATTCTTGATTTTGCGATAGACATTCAATTATGTAAACTTCTTAGCACTTCTCTATGGTATAGTCCATTGTCATAAAATACGTGTTATAGTTGTCATTTCGGGAATATGACTCTAATATTTTGGGAGTCTTTCAATAAATTCTTTAAGAAATAGGATATTCTCATTAGAAATTTTTTTTTTGTGATTTGCATGACGTCCTCTTCCATCCATTTTCGGCGTTAGTAAACCTTGTTTGATGTTTTTAGCAATATTCTCGACTCTACCCCTATTATGTTGTAGTCCATGAATATTTAGAAATGCTTTCTTACAAATTTGATACCTCGTGTTGCCTGTAGTTGTTATTAAATAATCGACAGAGTGACTCCTTCGGGAAGGCGACTCCTTTGGTTTGGTACTGCGGGCCTTTGTCTTAATCTGTATGCATCCAAATAAATACGCATTTTGGGTATTAAAATTATTTATCTCCCAAAACTTCTGAAAAATACTTTTCCTTTTGTTCGCTGATACTACCTCAAAACATTTTCTTTTGCACAATCAATCTTCTCCCATCGATTTTTGTGGTATAACGTTTCCCTTTGTTTTTTTACAAGTATATGGTTGACCACTGTTCCGTTTGTTCTGTTGTGGCTGATCAATATTACATCTTCGTTTCCTTTTTCTTCCTCGAACAGGGTTTTCTTTGTCAGGTTCATCAGATACTGCATTAGGATTGTGGTTGAGTAACGGTGTAGGCCATATCTTACGATGTTTCTGCAAAATAAATTGTACATTTGTACAAACAGAACATTTTTAAGCGCAAGAAAATTTCGGGCCAATGCATTATAAATGCATTCATTTGTTCGAATCCTGAAAAACTAATAAGTATTTTTGATGATTTAAACACATAATGAAAGATTCCAGTATTACCGAGGGTCAAAAGTCCCTTAAAATAAGCGAAAAGTTTCTTCTGAATCAGATATTTAAAATTAAAATTCACACTAAATTCTCTTCTTTTTTATTCCCGTAACTTATTAAAATACACATTGTCGAAGTTTTTAAGGACTTTCAGCCCTCGCTCGTAATGTAGTCTTTTATTCTGGGTTTAAATTTTTCAAAAATACTTATTAGTTTTGTGAATATTCGAAAAAAATAAATGCATTTAAAAAGCTATAAATTCATGAAAACAATGTTAACTAGTTCGGAATCTGTATCCTCTTCAATATTGGAAGCATCACTTTCTTCGGTGTCAGAATCTTTGACGGTAATACGTTTCAGAACTTTCTCTTGGGCTTTTTTGCAAATTTGACCTCGTTCTCGTCCCCTTTTGCGTCCACAACTCAGATTGTTCTAATTCTAATTTATAAGGCGATGATGTAATTACTGTGGCTTTTGTTGATGTTCTTCCTCGATTTGAGGTTTTTATTTTAGGCTTGGGTATTGGTGAAATTTGATGGGGTAGTATAAGCGAAGGGTTTACAGCTAATGATGTTCCTGGTTTTAAATAGAAAACAGAAGGATTTATAGTTAACAGTTCAAATCACGTTAGATGATTTGAGTTGAAGAGATACTGAATCTGATGTTGACGTGCTTGAAGCACATGACTTCAGTTGAATTGAGGATTCAGGAACAGTGCATGAAGTGGGTTAAAGAGACGATTCTACAGTTAATGTAGCAGTTTCGAAAGACAGCTTAGGTGGGTTCATCATCGAAGAAGTTACACTCGATGATATATTTTCCTCTTTTATTTGAAGCGGTTGTGACTCTGCTAGAAAATCAGCATCCTGAAAAATTTGACGATCCTGTTCTCGGGTCCTGACAAGTTTTGATAGATAAAGGTAGATGTAGTATCAAGCATAAATCAACAATGGCATTGGCGGAAGTGACAAATTCACTCGGCGGCCGACTTACCAGCAGGAGCCATATTCTCACCTTCTCCTTTAATAAAGTATCATAAAATACAATTTTATTACAAATACAGGGTGTCATATTTAATAAAATACTCAAACCAAGTATCGACGAACCCTGTATATCAAAATTATTGCTGTATGATAGTAATTTAGGACAATAGTATATTATATTAAAAATCTTTTAAAGAATCCTCTATTCTTTTTACTCGATATTTACACAATTTCAGTTGAAAATACATTTATTTTGATGTTTCATTTTGCACTTCGTATTTTGAGAACAATTTCCGAAGTGGAAATCGAAACATCCAAATAAAAATACTTACTTTAAACTAAAATTGTGGTAAATTTTCATTAAATATCTATTAGAAATAGGTAAATGCTGCAATATTTTCACAACGATATTGATTTTAATATTTTTTTTGTTTAGGAGCTAATTGTTTCCTAATTTTTGATTAATTTTTTATGGTTTACCTAATCATAAGTTAATCAAAATATTAATATAAAACTAATTTTATAACCCAATATTTAATTTCCGTATATAATAATTTGATGTTTTTAGGTAACCAGTGAATATGCCGGTCTTGCAAGGACTTATACTTTTATTATTAGTGGGATCTTTGACAGCATTGCCTAATCCACTTTCTACATCGGGGTTACACGGTGCTGTTGTGAGCAATGCACCAGGATGTGCTCAAATTGGAAGGTAAAAAATATTTATAACTATTTAACATAAAGTGTAAATTACTTACTAACTTTCCGATTCCAAAACACCAACAGCTTTAAAGTCTCCCTCATCTCTGTGCATGATAGGTATCCTCCTGGTATCTCCATTTCTTCAGGTTACTAGCACAATGTGAAACGCCAGTTATTACTCTGAGAAAGCAAAATGTGTTGTAGTTGACGCTTGCCATAGGTGTATTTGACTCATCTTTGGCTCTTCGGGAAGGGATCATGATTTTTTCAGAAAGCTGTTTCGAGATCTTAATCTACTTGGCTGAACTTGATGGTCATACAAGAAGTGTCTTCGATCCGTCTCCTGCTTCTTTCGATCTGTCTTTGACGTGACCTGTCTTCTAATAGCAGGTGGAGCGATTCCAACTATGGGGTAGATCTCTTTGATAGGTATCGGTTTCAGGCAACTAAATATTATACGATCCATTTCATTTAACGCAACATCGACATTTTTAGTGTGAGCAGAGTTTTCCCACACAGGTGTTCCAAACTCGGCGGCAAAAAAACATAATCCTATGGCAGAGTGTGTGGTTGTGCTCCCCCTTTTGTGTTTGTTAGTTTGCGGATGATATTATTTCTGCCGCTTACTTTTTTCTTGACACCTTGATAGTGATATTGAAAATACAAAGTTCTATCAAGACTGGCAACGGTCGGCAATGGATAGGACTGCCTGGCGTAATATACTTGGGAAGGTCGAGGCTCTTTCATAGGGCTGTAGCACCATTGATGATGATGATCCAGACGTATGCCGAGGTACTTTGGCGTCTCACTGTGTTTCATTACCTGACCATGCCATTCCACCTTCAGTATCCTTCGGGCATGCTTATTTCTAAGGTGGAAAGCACACACCTGGGTTTTTGTAGAATTGCGTTTCAGATGGTTTTTCTCATAGTATAGTGCTAAGTCTTCTAGGGCATCTGTCATTTTTACTTTTTGTTTGTTGGTTTTTGGGTTGTCGTTAGTGTTAATGTTGTATAGCAATGGCGCGAGGACACTTCACTGTATGAGTCAATTTTTTTGATATCTCCACCGACTGTTATTTTACTGGAGCGTTACGTAGAAGCGTTTCTTCTGGAGAAGTCATTTCAATAAACTTGCTAGTCGGAAATCCTTTGTAATTTCGTATAATTTTACCAGCAACTGTGTGTGTGTCAGGTCTATGAACGCTGCTCCTGTTACTTCCATCCGTTCAAACCCATCTTCAATATGTTGGGTGAAATTCAAAGTTTGACTGCAGCAGCATTTTCCGGGTCTAAACCATGCTTGTTCAGCAATAATAATCAACATCTCCGCTTAATAATTATCTTTATCTCATTCTACTCCGCTTCTGATTTCTGTTGTTGGATCCTATTTTCGTTTATGCTACTGACAAGATAAACGAAATGATCCATTGTCTATGGTACTGCATCTTCGATATTCAATACCGCCATCTTTTATGTTCTATAATTTTGTTTACCAACAATCATATATTTTATTTTCTTCCAAGTTATATCTTGTCTCCATTTTAGTTTAGGTCCGCCTCTAGTCTCTTATATAGTGGTATCTATTTCGTTATAACTCTTAACGGATTGCTCTTCTCTCTCATCATTATGTGTCCATACCATCTAATTCTTTGTGCTGTTATTGCTCTAACTATGTTCTCTTGACCCATTTATTCTTGTATTTCCTGATTCATCCATTGTCTTGCATCCTCTTCGTTTTCCCTCTTTGGTCCCTGTATTTTTCTGATAATTTTTCTCTCAAAAACTTTTGGTCTTCTCTTGTTGTTAATGTAAATGTTATATCTTATAAATCTTTATATTGCTACTTTTAGGGATATTTTAAAAAAAGGAAACAACGTGATAGATGCAGTCATTGCCACCGCCTTCTGTGAAGGTGTCGGAAATCCTACAACAATGGGTGTAGGCGGAGGATTCCTTGCTACCTATTACAACAAAGCCGAAAATAAAGTATATTCTATCAACTCAAGAGAAATGGCACCCTCTGGAGCCACTGAAGACATGTTCGTTAGTAATCAATCGCTTGCTGAGAGAGGTAATACATATTGTAACTTTTTTTTTATTTCCCTACATTTAATTTATAGCAGTTCTAAATTCTTCTATATTATCTGTATGCATATATTTAACTTCTTTGGTATTTATCCAGTACACGGAATGAAGAGCTAAACTGTATTATACAATTTTACGTTATTTATTTATTAAAATATCTGAAATTTGAAATCCCTTCCAAAGTTTTATCGTTTATTTATTTTATTTAATAGGAATCAAGCACAATTTTATTTGAAAATATATTGTATTTTTATTTTTACCTAGATAATTTGTGGTATATTGACATTAAATAAAGTAACTAGTGTATAAATACTACAAGGATATTCAACAACCGTGTTCTATCTTCTATGAAGCAACGCATTTATGCATTAGACTTTTTCCTGATTACCAAGCTTTTCCTTTTAAAGAAATTAAGACCCATTCATAACATACCTACATATTCACATCTTTTTTGAGCAATTAGCAATTCTTTATCTTCATATAAATATATTCCGAAATAATTAAATCACATTGTTTAAAACCAGATTAAAAGCCTGCAGTATTATGGCAGGATGTACCTACTTTATAAGTTATTCATGTTGCTTTGTGAATTAGAATCATTATACAAATTATTGATGGATATCTACTCCAACCCTGGAAAAAATAAATAATAAGTTTCTGAAAATGTTAATCTCAACGGAGGAACTAGGATATGTAACCAAACTATAGGAAAAACCAACACACAAAGAAATAATTGAATTAACATTAAAATTCTTATTTTTTGACATTAAAATGCCAAAAAGAATATTGTAATAAATTATCAAAAAGACACTAAATATTGGTAAAATATTAAATACAAAAAATCAAGTTACTCCAATGGAGATTTAAGAATATAAATAGGTTTTGGAACTTAAATAACACTTTAAATAGACAAAAGATATCATAAGAAAACCGTGTACTTCCATTGAAGCGCAACTGACATGAGAGAAATCAAAAAGTTACCAACTGAAAAATATTTTGTATTCTCCTTGATGTGCCCATCCGTTACGAATGTTGACGATCATCATGGCAATCTTTATCTTACCTGCAGCAGCACAGGGAAGCTGCACAGATGTTGTATTCCAACCAGATTCTAAGGTTCTTAAACCAATATGTTCTTCTTCCTGGACCTCGCTTTCCAAATATTTTTCCTTGGAGGATGGCTTGAAGGAGAGCATATCTGGATTCATTTCGTATAAAATGTCGGAAGAATTGTAACTTTCGAGATTTGATGGTGGTCAGTATCTCTCGGTTCTTATTCATTCTTCTGAGGACCTCCTCATTTGTGACTCGCTCAGTCTACGGGATCTTAAGTATTCTCCGATATAGCCACATCTGAAATGATTTTAGTTTTCTGCACATATCTTCATTTAAGGTTCACGATTCAACACCATCAAAAAGAACAGAGAGGACCTAGCATCGCAGCATTCTTACTTTTCTATCAAGAAAGAGGTAACTCTTAAAGGAGGCCCCCATCCGATTGAAGGGAGATCTAGCTTTTCTGATGGGTGCTCCAATCTCCTGGTTGTTGGTCCATTCTTCATTTATTATGGTGCCGATGTAGTTGTAGTGCTTCACTCATTCTACAGGAGATTGGTTGACGTAGATCTGACCTTCTGTTGTCCTTTTCTTGCTAATCATAAGCATAATCATAAGCCTTGTCTTTTTACCGTTTATATTGAGTCCATATGACTGTAATACATGATTTTGTTCATAAGAACTTCTAAGGTATGTCTTCTAAGTTGTCCGCAAATACTATGGTGTCATCTGCATATCTGATGTTGTTTAGATTATCTGATTTTGTATGGGCTAAGTAAATCATAGATATTTTATATATGTCTATGGAATAAGCTCGATATAAGTTCTTAATAAGGAGAATATACAAAGAGTAAATTGAAATAAAATTGAAAAAAGTGAAAAATTAGAGGAAGAAATGGGGATTAAAACCGCAAATAATGCACTGGGTGTACACCATGGTGATCTAACTCTCAATTGCCTATGAAGCGACGATGTAGTGGGCTAATTCACTTTAAACAGTTGCAAAAGCCACACTATGCAAAGTGCAAAGACTTGCGTCTATGGGATAACTGGTGCAATGCATACTACTCCAACAGCAACTATGGAGGCTTTACTAGGCCTACCCCCTTTATATTTGTTAATACAAGAAAAAGCCAGATTGGGAGCTAGCAAAATAAAACAAGCACTGAAACCTTGCAATGGATGAACAGAGCATATGAGTATCACAAGTACTGTGACGAAGGCCATTTTTAATAAAAAATCAGATCACACGACAAAAAAATACAATTGTAGGAATTCAAATAGGGTGTCTATCCCGTGAAAGATCTGGTATAAAGATGGATCTAAAACTACAGAAGGTATGGGGGTAACAATATACTTCAATAACCCAAGAATAAGCGAAAGCATTGCCTTGGGAGGAATTGCACCGCTTTCCAAGCAGACATTTATGCGATACTGCAATGTGCGAATGGAAATAATCAGAGAGCTCTTAAAAAAGAGCAGATCCATATATTGTCTCACAGTCATGCGGCACTGAAGGCACTGGCGTATCAGGCAGTGAGGTCTACGTTGGTATGGGACTGCATCAAAGAACTGAATGAACTGGAAGACCAACAAAGTTGAGATTGTCTGGGTACCATGACAACATCAGAGCATCGAAGGCAACGAAAAATCAGATCAACTTGCAAAAAGGGGATCAAACGAATTGGCTCTAATTCTGGAAATACCAAAAGCTGCAGTTCATAGGACTCTAGAGGACTGGATCAGAGAGAGTCATGGGCTATATTGGAAGAGAATCCCAAAACAAATACATGGAAAAATCCTGATTGGTAGAGCATGTAGAAAAAGAACAGAGGAACTGCTTCATACGGGCAGAAAAAAAACTGAGAACAGTAACAGAAATGTTGATCATGCATCACCAGTAAGAAAATTCATCAATAAAATAATCATTTATAATGGAGACCTAAACAGCAGACTCTGTGATAGGGAACTAGAAACTGTAAAACATGTATTATGCGATTGAGAGGTGCTGGACCGTAAAAGACAAAATCTGTAAGGGCAATCAAAAGGAGATTTTGGGATATTTAGGACACACCAAGCAAAAGACATGTACAAACTTCTACAAGGTAGAATAATTCTAAACTGGGCAAAGGAAATAAGAATACGCTTTAGATTCATTGACAACAAAGATATTTTTGGGCTTAGGGAAGAAACAAAATTAATAAAGAAAAAGATGAAAAAAGATAAAGAATAAAAATTAGACAGAATGTTAAGTTAATAGATAGTTGAGTGCCAACTATTTTTAGGATAAAAATGGTAAAACTAAAGAGACGCTTAACAAATGAATAAAATGAACAGAAATTGGAATAAAATATTTATTTGAATTAAAATAAAAAACATGTGACCTTTATAACCTTATACTATCAATCAGACTTCCTGAACGTTATCGTATTCCTCAGGTAATACATGAGAACCAAATTTTCAAATACTTTTCATTTTTCAATTTTTATATACTTGTTTATGTCAATGTTATACTCGTAGCTCTTCTCTAATACTTGTACCAGCTTGTATATGTGATAATAAATAATCAGGATGTAGTAATGTTAACTAACTTTCCGTTTGAGGATTCTATGAACCATTAATTGTTCAAAATATATTTTACAGGTGGTCTATCTGTAGCAGTTCCTGGTGAGACTAGAGGATACTGGACACTATATAACAAATTCGGAGGTGGAGTTCCATGGAGTGCTTTAGTAGAACCTACAATTAAAATCTGCGAAGAAGGAATTGAAATGAACGAACTTACATATAATAATGTAAGAGATCAAATCAGTGTTGTGAGGGCTGACCGTGGATTAAGGTATGTAGCTGTGTTTAATTACAAATGCCATGTTGACGATATATTAATAGAAATATATATTTGAAACATAATAATAAGAACAACTCTTTATAGTATAATGAATGTATCAATTTAACATAAAAATATTTGCAGACAAACCAAAGTAATGATCAAAAGTTTCTTTGTGTTTATTTTGATTTACTCTTGTAAAGATATCAGTACTTTATATAAATAGAACTACATGCAGTTAAATAAGTTCTTCCTTCTAAAGTTCTACATTAATATGTATATCGATTTTATAGGGATTTTTAATTCTGACATAGTGACAAGTGATATGCATAAAACAACAATTAACACTTAAATTTTCCAAATCTCTTCCAAACGCTTCGGTCAATATTCAGTAAAAAGTTTAATATTGTTGCACTTTTTTCTTTTTCTACCTTTTCAGCTTTTTCCTTTACCGGGATTGCTGTTTCTTACACGTCTTTACACTTATTTCTGTCCATCGTGCCTTGTTGATCCAGACCTTACTCTCCTAAATCCTCTTTTACACAGTCCTTCGATCTTCTCCTCAGTTTTCCTTTACCTGACTATTCCTTGACTTCTAACAGCTCTATTCTTTGTCCTACCTAGTTCTCATTTCTACGTCTGCTATGACCAAACCAATGCAGTTCTTGTTCTTTACTAAGATTCGTTTTGAGTCTAGTCACCTCGTCCTTTTACCTAATTACGTCGTTCCTGATCTTGTTGCATCTAGTCTTAACCAAGATCTGTTTGGAGACTATTCATACAGCTATGCAGACGATCTTTTCTTAGCGGTAGCAACCCAGGAAGCTATTACGCCCTTAACCAGATATTTTTTATAGAATTTCCTCTCCCAGTCAAACCATAACTTTACTGTTGCCTTCCCATCATATTTTGTCTTAAACTCTTTCAGTTTTTACTCTTGAAGGCTGATGACAAAACCTAATCCTTTAACTTTCACCACTTTACTTTTTGATATCCTACTTGCTTTCCTTCTCGCCTTACCTTTATCTCCTTATCCGTGATCATCGATCGGTGTTAACTAGCTTGGATACTTTTCTGTACTAAAGGAGCCATTTATAGACATAATATTACGACGAAAAAGAAAAAGCAGAAAGTATAACCATAGTCACAATTACCAAAAATATTCATAAATTAAAAACAAGCAGGAAAAAAGGCTTTTTTAATATAGCTAAAGACAGGAAAAAATAACTAGCAACCTACACAATACTTCTGTAGAACTCCGATATTAATAGATTGATAGATCTGTATCAAACATAAAAATAACAGATTATATACAGGTATAATCATCATAGGTACAATCTCGATAAAAATATTTTTAGAAAGTCAAATATTATAATGCAGGAAATTATATTTCAGATAATAAATTAGTCTTAAATAATTTTGGTTAAGGCTTTTATCTACTTCTATGTTTATCAACATGTTGTTAAATAATACCAGATATAAATAGCTGCTAATAATATACATAACTATATTTAAATTTAATCTGAATTAATCTGAATTCTCTTGGTAAGTTCATGTAGTTTAATTCTTTGTTTATTTTCACAAATGGCTTTTATTCCTTTTATTTATTGAGATTATATATAGATTTTGGGCTCAGGATATTGTTGGTTTATCATATATTTTTTGTGATGAGATAAATTCCGCACTCTCCTAATATGCAATTACATTCTTTATCTTATTGATTTTAATTATGTTTTATATTTTATTACATTTTTAGAGCAATTTTTATTAATCCAGCTACAAACCAAGTTTACAAAAAAGGAGAAACATACAAAAGAGTGAAATTGGCTCAAACATTGAGAGTAATTGCAAGGGAAGGTGGAAATGCCATACATAATGGATCTCTTACTAAGAACCTTGTCGCAGATATCAAAGCTAATGGTGGTATTATTACAGAAAAGGATTTGGCTGATTTCAAGTAAGTTATTAAACTAAATAAAATTATTATTTTTTAATATCTTCTTTGTTTACCAAGAACAGAGACACCAATAATAAGAAAGGTGGAGTACGCTTTATTCTTCGTGCTATGTCATGCTGAACAAAACGTACAACCTTCTGTAACGTCTCTAAAAGCTTCCATGCTTTGATTATTTATTTTATCTTTATCGATTGTTTCATATCTCTCCTCTTTTGCTTAATTGATTCCCTTATGACATGTAGAGTTGCCGTAGAAATTGTCCACTGGTTATAGGTAGCATCTTTTTTCTTTAAATACTCTCGAGCTTATTTCTATACGATTTTGCGTACAGTGCTCTTGACCTTACTGAGGTATACTATACTTCATATAGTAAAATGGACTGCAGTACTGCTTTAAGGAGTTCTTGCTCTTGGGTTATTCACCCACGTTGGATAGAGCTTACAGTAATGCTGGAGTCTTAAGTGCAGTCATTTTTACTCTGTGACCCTTCTTACGGTTAGTGGCTAGCTCATCTAGGCGTAGGTCCTGCGTAGCAAAAGCTAAATAAAAATTACCGATAGCAATAAGCATTCATAAAAAAAAGAAAATAAAAAATCTTAAGCATTTCTAATGATCGCTCACTAAAAACATTTTATTTATTTAGCATATGGATAATTATAATACGATAAAAGTAGTATTTAGATAATAATTATGTTCAAATTGGAATTGTAACCTAAGTTAAATATTAAATATTAATGCCCAAATTGCACAGCCATTCAATTGCACCAGGAGAACACTCTGCAAAATCTTAAAGGTCTCCGCTGTATCTGCGGATTGGGCAATCCGCCATGATGTGTTGGATGGTCTGTCTCGGGGATCCACAATTACATTGTGGGCTTTCTGCATGACCCCATCGGTATAGAGAATCGGCACATTTGCCATGACCCGTGCGTATGCGATTTAATTTTGTCCATATAGGGCGTGGCAGGTTTGATCCAGTGAAGCCGATCGACGTACTTGTTATTTTGATGACGTCTGGCTCTGTTGTTGGCATCCATCTTTTCGTCCACTGCTCTTGCTTATTGTAGCTATCACCCATTCCCTGAACGGATTGGACAGGGAATCGTCTGGACTTCAATCTTTGTTGGTGTCGTGCGGCGTGCGGAATATACTGGTGAATTGGCAGACGATTATTTGCCATGATTTTCTGTAATTCTCTGACAAGTGCTGCCGTTCGTCGAATATCTGGAGGTGCTATATTGCTCAGAATTGGAAGCCATCTTAGTGGAGTTGATTTAGTAGTACCAGATATTACTCTCATAGTGTAATTTAGTTGAACATCAATCTTGTTGACATGAGCGCTATTTAGCCATACCGGTGCGCAGTATTCCGCGACAGAATACACCAGGGCCAGTGAGGAGGTTCGAAGTGTATCCGCAGTGGCACCCCATGTCGTTCCAGCAAGCTTTGTTTCTAAAAACACTAACACTTTGTCACTAAAAACATTAATCGAAAAGCACAAGGTAAACTAAAATTAGGAAAATTCTCATCCCAATAAACTAGCAAGCTTTTGTTTATTGAACATATACGTTTAAGTAGTATAATGGTTTATTAAGAATTATTTTTTGAAAAATTTCATTTTATCCTTATTATATATTTTTATTAATTATTTTTAGGGTCGAATTCCTCACGCCAATTAATACAACACTCAGCGGAAAACAAATATATTCTGTTCCCTTACCTGGAGCAGGAATAATACTGACATATATTTTAAATATCCTCGAAAACTTTTTACCTCGTAATAATCATCTTTCAGTAAAAACTTACCAAAGGATAACCGAAGCTCTAAAGTACGGTTATGCTATGAGAAGCAGCCTTGGAGACAAAGATTTTGTTTCTGGACTTGATGATGTAAGTTATTTGTTTTAGATTAAATATTTATATTTTATTTTACCGAGTAAATGTACATGGTTTATTTTTAATTTTTAATTATTTACCGTTATAAAACTTGCAGAATATTAATGTATATCTTTAAATTTCTTTAATTTCTAGTTGATTGTAAAACTGTCTTCCAAACGTTATGCTGCAGATGTAAGAAAGAAAATTACAGATCTCAGAACATTTAATGATCCTACACACTATGGTGCTACCTTCGAATCTATTCAAGATCATGGTACAGCTAACCTCTGTGTATGGGGTCCAAATGGTGATGGAATATCTCTTACAAGCAGTATTAATTATATGTAAGTAAAATTTCCCAGAAGTAGTTTAGTTGTTTTTTTCTTATATAGACATATGATCTATATAGCTGTCTATAGTGTGTCCAGTGTAATATTATTTCAGCTTTTTCCTTGTAACTCCACTCTTTGGCTTTCCACTTGGAATGGTCTCTCACTATTTTTTCTACTTTTTTATTGGTCATTTACATTTGGAGCGTAAACTTTTTCTCAAATAATTGAAAAGCCACATTCGACTATATTAAATATTTAAAAAAAATGGTTCTAATAATGCGGGAACTGTCAAATTTACTCACATGTCCTTTTCCTACATTACCTTTTCCAACATTGTCGTGAAAATTTCTCATTACCATTGTTTATTATAATTCATTAAAATTCTTTCTAAATAAGGAATGCAATCAGCAATAGATTTTTTCAGTCAATAATATATTGCTTACAAGGATAGAAACTCCATATTGACGTTTAAAATAGAATACATTTAACTTAAGACTTTTCATTTCTTGATGGATTCAACCGTTACTTGATGGAAATTCATTTATGCAACAATAAAACTGAATAACAAACATTTATAATAACACTGATAATAAACATAACATAAAAACTTTGTTAACAAACTTCCACAAAAAAATTATTTTAACTCTTATCACTACAACTGTTTCGACTGATTGCCTTTCTCAAGTGATCTATTTTTGGCATGCGTTTACACTTTATAGTCTCTAATGAAATAAGTTGAGTAGGGGAGAACTGTTTGTCTCAAGTTGGTCATTCAAAATTATATCTGTGTTTTTTAATTTGTTGATTTCCATAGATTCTAACAAGGATAGCTTAAGGCTTTTATTTTGAATGTGGAGAATTTTAAATTCGTCGTTAAAAGAATGATTGTGATCTAGAAGGTGAAGTGCGTATGTAGAATCTGTTTTTCTATTATTGAAAGCCCTTTTATGTTCTGCTATTCGTTTGTTAAAGTTTCTATCAGTTTGACCGATGTAAGTTTTTGGGCAGTCGTCACATTTAAGTTTGTACACACCACTGTGTAAGTGTTTTTTATTTTGGCTCTTGTTGTTTTTGATATATTTGCCTAGGTTGTTATTTGTTCGGAAAGCTGGAGTTATTCCTTTCTTTTTTATGTGTTTGGCTATTTTTGTTGTAATCTTGCCTGTATATGTAATCGAACGGAAGGTACTGGGTTTTTTCTCTGGTGGTGGAAATACTAATTTCAGGGCTTTCTTGTGTAGTTTTTGATTTAACGTTTTATTAATTGTTTGTTCATTGTATCCGTTCTTTACTGCTATTGGCTTAATTATATTTAATTCTGTCTCAAAGTTGTATTTTGACATCGAAATTTCTGTTAATATATGTAACATACTATGATATGCTGCCAATTTATGTTGTGTTGGATGAGATGATGAATTATGTATAGTCGTGTCAGTATGGGTAGGTTTGTGAAATATGGAGAAGTCATGTTTGTTTTTAAATCTGATAATTTTTAAATCTAAAAAAATTATAGATTAATTTTGTTCTGTTTCTATTGTAAATTCAATATGACTATGAAGTGAATTAATATACGATAAAAATTGGTCGAGTTGCCTGTTAGTTCCTGCGAAACATACTAGTACGTCGTCTACGTATCTCCGCCAATATAAAAACTGCTTAAATACGGGATGTTTTAAAATCTTTGTCTCTAGATGATCCAGAAAAATATCTGATAGCAATGGGCTTAGAGGATTGCCCATTATAAGTCCTGCACTGTTATTTGTATATATTTGATTATTAAATTCAAAGTAGTCCTGGTTTATGCAAACTTCAAGAAGATGTAAAATTTCAGATGTGATTATTGGATTTGTACTATTTTGGTCTAAAAGGTTTTTTACTAGAATAAAAGTTTCTGTAGGAGAGGTTTCTGTAGTTCCATTTCTGCTATTAAAATATCTAGCTTTCCATTATTCTATTAATTGTCTATAAAAATCTTGATTCTTTTTAGATTTAATAATAAAAAATATTTATATAGTATCATCAAAATATATTTTCTTGTTAGTTTCCTTCTTTGCATGAAGAAAATAAACCTTTTTGCATGTAGGAACAAACCTTTTAAATTTATTGTTTTTTAAGCTTGGGAGCCGGATTTGTTTCGGAAAGCACTGGCATCATACTCAATGATTCTATGGATGATTTCTCAACACCGGGATTGGTAAATGAATACGGCTATCCCCCATCTCCATCAAATTACATTCGTCCGGGGAAACGACCACAGTCCTCAATGTGTCCTACAGTCATATTGGATGGAAGAAACGAACTTTTCATGGTCGTTGGCGGTGCCGGAGGAAGTAAAATTACTTCAAGTGTAATGCAGGTGAGTGTTGGGGTTTACTGTTCGATTTTATTATTAAATCTATTTTGTGACACATGCAGTTAGACATTTTTTTTAATGTAATGAGTGCATGTCAGTGACACAGTTGTTAAAATATCACATAGATATCATTAACTAAAACCAAAAACCAGTTTTTGTTTACTTTTATATATTTATAGGTTATACTTAATCGCTTATACTTTGACATGGATGTTGAAAGTGCATCCGGTCTACAAAGGGTTCATCACCAACTTTTCCCAATGACATTAGATATGGAGGACGAATGGATATATGAGGTAATATAAGAAATATGCATTATAGTGTATTTTTATGTATGAGAGAGTAATAAAACAATAAATTATGTATGCAAATCCCTAAACTGTTGATACGGGTGACTCAATGAAAAACAGATATTTGTCAACAAGTTTACAGAAGTATATAGGAAAACAATTTTAAATTGAGTATGACCACCAGGTATAAAGGTTGGAGCAGAATAGAATACAATAGTTGTGAGGGTTACTAATTCCTAAATAAGGTTGCCAGTGTCGGAGTGATGGAGGTTAACAGGTACTAATGAATTTGCAAGAAATGTAAGATGTTTATTTTATTGGTTATATATAACCAATAAAAGTTTAATAAGTACCTACCTATTTGCAAAATAAAGTTTAATTCTTTAGATAAAATAAAACGTTTTATTTTATCTGAAATGAGTGCATTCCACGAAGTAAGGGTTTCAACAATCAAACATTTAATTCTTTAATTCCAGGAATCTACGACAGTAATTGACTAGATAATTACCTTCTAAACTTATTCCACAGAAAATGTGATAGTGGGTTTTTCCATTTTGTAGGAAGGTCCAAGTGGCGTATTCAAAATTCTTAACAGTTCACTAAAAGTAGGTACTTCAGTTGCAAGGTGCAGTTTATTGTGTATACTAGTGTTATGGAAAATTTGGAAGTGCCGTGTAAACGCCGAAAAATTGGTCCTTTAACAGTTAATGAAAAAACATTAATATTTAATTGTTTTAAATCATTTACAGACAAACGTTTATGTGAAAGTGTTGATGAGACCGTTGAGTTAGTTAGCAGTACACTTGGTGTTGGAAATCTACGATTTACAGAGTTATTAAAGAAGAGAAATGTGGTAGTTTTCAAATGCCACGTAATGCTCCAGGGAAACCAAAATTTCAAATAGAATATCATTTTAAAGAAGGACTTCGACGGAAAGTGCATGAATTCTTCTTTAGACAAGAATTTCCAACATTGGATAAAGTTCTTGTCTCAGTTCGAGATGATAAGGATTACCCAGAAATGAGTCGAAGTACGTTATGGAAACTTTTAAAAGAAATAGGCTTCCGCTGGAAAAAGAATCCCAGAAAGTCTATTTTATTAGAAAGAAGCGATATTGTCATATGGAGAAGACATTTTCTAAGAACCATAAAGGAAATGAGAAACCAAAAAAGAAAAATATTTTATCTTGATGAAACATGGATCAACGAGGGTCATACACCAAATAAATTTTGGCAGGATGAAACTGTTACAAGTCAAAGGCACGCTTTTGTAAATAACTTATCTACTGGTTTAAACCCACCATCAGGAAAGGGACGCAGGCTGATAATAGTACACATTGGCAGTTCAGACGGTTTTGTTGAAGGTGGTTTATTAACTTTTGAATCAACTCGTACCGGTGACTACCATGAAGACATGAACGCTGATGTCTTTCAAGAATGGTTCGAACAAATGATAGATCTTCTTCCTAAGAACTGTGTAATAGTAATGGATAATGCAAGTTATCACTCCAGACTTATAGAAGGACTGCCCACAACCAAGTGGTTAAAAAAAGACTTGCAGAATTGGCTGAGTTCAAAAAATATTACGTACCATCCCGGATCTATAAGAAAGGAACTTTATTCGTTGTGTGCCCTTCATAAAGAAAAATTTAAAAAATACGAAATTGATGAAATTGCCAAAAATCGTGGAATGACAGTACTTAGATCCCCACCATATCATTGTGAATTAAACCCGATTGAACTGGTATGGGCACAGATAAAGAGTGAAGTTTCAAGAAAAAATACCACTTTTAAAATTCATGATGTTAAACAGTTGTTTTTGGAGGCCGTAAATAATGTAAAACCTGAAAACTGGGAAAAGGCAGTAAATCACACTATTAAAGAAGAGGAAAAAATGTGGAAGCTGGACAATATTACTGATAAAATGATCGAGCCAGTTATTATAAATCTTGGTTCTGAAAGTTCATCTTCTGAATCTGATTTGGATTTGTAACAAGTAGCTGTAAGTTTTATATTAATATTTTTATTCATCTATTTAACATACCTTAGACGGTTTTAAAAACTCTTTTTCTCTTTTGTAATTTTTAAAAATTAAAAAAAATGTGAATTTTTTAAAACCCTTTTTAATGTAGGCCAGTCAGTTCTAATATAGTGTGTGATAAAAGAGGTCACTTTTGTTTACATACACATAACACTTTATAACACTGAAATAATTCATTTATTTTTTACAATTATTCAAAGTAATTTTTCAATTAATCTTGAGCACGCCCATGGAGTGGTCGGAGATACCAGTTAAAATTATGCTAATTACTCTCTCGTTCATAAAAATAAACTATAGAATATCGTGTTTTATAATTAATTGTAATTTTGCTCTATTTATTTTAACCCTTCGGCACGGTGATGCACCCGTGGGCATCATTCTTGACTGTCCGCTCAATAGGGTCACAGTATAAAGAGTTGGAACCTCTTTATACTGTGGTACGGTCATGAACATCATGAGTCGATGCCTCCGTCTGCATCATATTTAAGGTATTTTTATTCCGTCCTTATTACCTTATTCAAATCTAAAACTGGGGAAACCACGCTCAAAAGTGGGTGATGTCTAGAAGGATATTACAAAATCCAGAGGATCGTATATATAGTGGTTGTCAGTTAATTTCTATATCCGTATGCCATTGACTATTTAATTTTTTTTTCCTACATTTTAAAAATAAGAAAATTATAACCGGAGGCCTAATTCGTTTTTATAATGTTACAGAATCCAGAAATAGTAAACGGTCTCAAAAGGATTGGTCACAATATTACCTTCTCTTATCCAGACGGATTTGTAGCAGTAACTGCGATATCCTTGGATAAGAATAGAAGAAACATCGTCGGTGTCCATGACAAAAGAAGACGTGGTTCAGTTGCCTATATGTAGTTAGAATACGAATAATTAAAATAAAACTGTAAATATAATATAACAGAGAATTTTTATTAAATAATATGTACCCCATTGAATAAATAAAAATTAAAACTGAGTGAGCTGAAACATATCAACAATTAAATTACTTTAAAGTGTATTAGAAAAGACTTAATCTGAATATACCGCTTCTTCTTCATCTGCTACCTTTTAACGAAATTTAGAAGCTCCTGCTTCTAAGGTAGACAGCAAACTCCTGTCAGTCTTAGGCTTTTGTTATTAGTAACTGGAAGTCAACTCTTTGGATTTTTCTGAGACACCTCATCTGTCGCCTATCAGAGCCTTGTCTGCACTTAATCTTTCCTTTTATTATCAGCTGTCGAAAGTTATTTCTCTCCTGCCTAAAAAAGTATCACAAATAAGCTGCTTTTCGCTTTTTACTATTCTTAAAATTCTTGGTCCATATTTATTTTGCCATGAAATTTCTTTGTTTCTAACGAGGTCCATCTATGGTATCTTCTGGATGCAGCATAATACCCACATCTCAAAGCCCAGTCTATACATTGTACTAATTTTCAACGTCCATATTTTCATGGTATATAGAAGTATACTTACTATACCAGTATACATACAATTTCAATATTGAAACTGAAACTGAAGCTTCTATACTGGCGTTGTATTACTTTTTCCCTATAGTAAAATTCAGAGGTGAGCGTCACATAACAAACAGTTGGAGGAGTTTATTTACACGAAGAGGAGAGTCCATTATACAACATGTAAACTTTTTCAACTTGTTTGAAATCTTTAAAAAAATCAATAAACAATAAAAAAGTAATAAAATTACTTTATTGAATTTTAAAAATATTTAAATTTGAAAAATGCTGAAAACCTAATATGAACCTTCGCGCTAGTCTCCAGTGCAAAAGCATTAGGGGTACGTATTTTTAACGAATTGTTTCTGACATGTTTTATCATGATTTTTATCTCGTGATCTGGATATAGTTTTTTTATTTATAAAACATTCCAGCACTTTGTGTTACTTTATCAAATAGCAGAACATCCGATTTAAGAACTAGCTGCAATGCGGTAGGTGTAAAACATTTCTATAATAAAATAACCGGTCAGTTTAATTTGCATTTCGGTAAATTACATTTATTTAAGTTATTTCCTCAACAATATTTAATATATTGTTGAGGAAATAATGTAAATAATTAAAATGAATTTTTGATGATTTGGAATAATCAGTTAACTGGAGCTAAAATGGCATCTATTGAGTCAACTTGATGCTATATGCCTACAGTTACCTACACCACATGAAGCTCCACAGCTTCTTGTTTGTTATTTCTCCGTTAGATGGCGCCTCTTTTTTTTATATCATTTGTACACAATCTTTCATTGTAGTATATTAAAATTTAAAAATATTACTTTCGCGTAAAATCTATTTTAACTGTGATTTGGATACTATTTAAAAATGGTTTGATATTTATTAAATTTAAAAATTTTTAACCAATTCTCTCGATTTGACAGTTTGCTGTTTATATGTTGCTCTAAGTTTGTATTTCAATAGTTCGACGTATATCTAATAGGTTGCGCCTTGAGTTAGATTTTGAAATATTAAATATAAATTTTTCTTTATGCCTTGAAAAATGACAAAAATATAAAACATCATTAATTTGGTACGATTACTAGTATAACAACTTTCTGTATTTTTGGTTCGGTGTTTAGACTTAAGCTTTAAGCGGTTACTGGAATATTTTTTATACCAGTGGCCGCTTGGCGTACTTTGTATAATGACATATAATGTATATTGACATACATAAGGAGGTACATATTTAATTTAACACTACATTTTTTAAATACGTAGGAATAAATAAACACATATTTTATGTAAAAAATATAATAAAGCATAAAATACAAAAATAGAAAATAATTCTTAGATGAACACAAAAAGACACAAAAAAGAAATTAATTTTAAGGACTTTCTGTTTGATTTTCATGATGCTCTTTACATGCTGGTTTACTGCATCTTTGGTGCTTTATTGTGGTTGCTCTATTTTTTTTTCGACCACACTGGGTACCTACACCTTCCTCTTATTTTTTCGGGCAATTTTGGAGTCTCAGTCTCGGAACTCCTATATGGAGCTAAGTATCTTTTGATGCCAACAGATGGGTTGGTGATATTTGCCATCTGTTGCAAGTGGGGTGTGGTTAGAGGAACCGCTATTTTTTAAAGAAATGTCTGTGACTTAGGGCTTTCTCGCAATTAGTGGTGTTAAATAAAATATTGGAATTTATTCCTGCAATATTTGTAAGCTGATAAAATACAACAAATGGCTACCGTCTACTTTGTTATTATACAGTATAATTGCTGCACATTTGGTCGACTACATCCATTCTCCCTTTAGTTTCATTGTAGAATAATACTATGTCTGGTTTGCCTAACTTCTCATCTACACAATCATCAGCGTGCTGCGTAGAAAGTAATAAGACAACTTTATTCCTTTTTCCACTGTAGGATACAAGGGTGGTTTCCTTTTGAAATGCAAAAATTGAAGACCTAGTTTTGCTTGGTTGTAATTCCGGTGGGATTTTTCTTTTAATTTTTTTAAGTACCAACCAAAGTAATTTTTCGATGAAGAAGCTCTTGAGACCAAGGATAACTGGTGTACCAATTATCTGTGGTCAAGTTTCTTTTAAAATTTTTGAAGGGTTCAAACAATCTGAGTACAATATCTGTTGCAGTATTTGGTAGATTATATATTCCTTCCAGCTGCTTGCCACAGTAAATTTCTAAATTTGAGACATAAAACATCTTTGAATTACACAATGCAAATATTTTTATCCAATATTTGTTGGGCTTCTTAGGCAAATATTGTAAGAAAACTACAACGACCACACGGTATGGAACTTACATTTCGCCATGGGGCGAAATGGGGATATTGTAATACCTTCACCTGGGCAGAAATTTTTCCGACAGTTGTCTGTAAATTCGTTTGTAATTTTTTGCACTGCCGCTAATTTATTTGTTTGCTTCCGTTCTTCACGACTTGTTTTGTCGTCGAACCTAAGTGCTCCAAGGAAAAACAGAAAATGTTTATATCCCATATATGCCGGAAAGATTTGGATTCCTGTGCCATCAGCTGCTCACATCTCTCTAAAATTAGTATGGCTTAAGTTTTTTATACCAGCATGAAAGAGAATTCCAAAAAGCGCAAGGATTTCCTCTGGCGTTGTTAATTGTGTATTTCTGTCTCTTGTGTACCCTACTTGAATTCTTGTAATAAAATTATGTGTGAACAATGTTACACTTTCTATCATTTCTTTGGTAAAAAAATATAAAATGCACTTAGCTAGTCTTTAACACTTTCTGCATCGACAAGAGGTCTCGGAAAAAATTTAATTATCTGAAACGTTATTGTAAGAACTGTTCAATCGAGCATGAGATAAAACAGAGAGATAGTAAAGATTTACATATGACTCAAAAGTGTAAAACACTATCTAGAATCAAGATATGAGACAAACAGATAGAGAGATTATGGTTGAAATCCGGATCAAAGGACCAAAATATGTACAAAAAGGGAGTACATATGTGGGAAATTATTAGTATAATTTCCGTGTATGTGGACTGTATTATATAGGGCTGGTTCAATAAAATTAATGTAGTAAAAGGTATACAGACAATAGCAAATTATGTTTATAGAAAGTCTTACCAGTATTTCTGCTCCACACTCTCACGGTTGTTTCTGGTCTTCACTCGTGGTTATTCTGCACCCGCGAAATCAGTCCGATGCACCGGTTTCTGAACACGTGTTTCGCACTAATATCACGATATAAAGCACACTTTGTCTATACACGATTTAATACAGTATTTTCGATATTTCTCGCGTAACTAAGGTGGAAAAGAGATAATTACGATAGAAAACAGCCAAGATAGATGTTGTTCTTCTTGATAATCGAAGAGAGAGAGAGACAGAATGAATGTCTTTAGCAGTAGCCGAGAATCCAAAAAAGCACGACTCACCTTGGCGGTAGCCAGATCAAGAGCGATCGTTTTTTCTTTGGTATCTTAAAAGCTGTGTGTCCTTGTACTGGAGAGGGGTTAAAATGTGAGTAGGGAGGATTCAAGGGTTGGACTAAGATAATAATTGTAAAATTGTGATAAAAGGATAATTATTAATACAGCGAAAAAATAACATTCTTTTTCGCATGTGAAAAAATTAAACAAGAACTATGGATCCAAATTTAGTAATACAATCGAAAATCTTCAAAATTACAGACTTTTTTTTATTTTTTTTTGGCATTAGGAGTGGATCCGTCCAGCCAACACCACTGTTACTTATATAGTACTGCTCGATGTGGTCGCTTCGTTCGTAGGTTTTGAGGTTTTGTTATTTTTTTTGGATGGCTGTCGTCTTTTTGTTAGTATTTTTTAATTTTTTGGTGGCCAAAGCCTTAATTTATTTATTTTTATTATTATTTTTTGAAGGTTGTGCTGAAAATAAACATCAATTAATAAAATTTCCAGTGCTGGGTGCTAGGGCTTCTTCTGTTGGTAGAGCTACGAATTATCTAGGCTTTATGTGTTTGCCAGGATTTTCTGTTTTGGTCTTTTGTGCTTTTATCGATGCAACGCATCATATCTTATTATCTCTCGCAGGATATGGTTTGGATGATTCTCTATTTCTGCAAACCAAATTCTGGCTTTTTCTGCCATTTTATCTATCACCCTTACTTGTAGCAGTTCTCTAAACAGAAAGTGTTCAGCGACGCATCTGGATACATTTGCTGCTTCTCTAAGGATGTTATTGTGGGCTGCTTACATTTTATTTTTATTTGAATTGCTACTTGTAAAATTTTGAATCGTAAAGTTTATGTGTTTTATCTCTTCGATCTTAGTGTAAGTACTGCGAGACACGTTTGTAAAAGCCGCCGAAGACAGCTCCTGCTCTACGAAAATCAACCGCGAATGAATACCGGGAATGGGAGCCTGCCGATATAAATACCGGGAGCGTGTAACAGTAATATTGGTAAGATTTTTTTATAAACCTGATTTGGCTTT